TGACATTCCATGTCCCTATTGCCAGTCTTGGCAGCCGGGGGTCAGTCCGCCAGGGCGGACTGACAGATATCCAGCTGTAATTTTGCCAGAAGTTTTTTGATGACTACCAAAAGCATCCGGTTAAGGTACAACTCACTAACAGACATTTAACTTTAATTAGTATTTATATACTAAAATATAGAAACTATTTTTTAAGTCATTAAAGGTGTATGCTGTACAGTCACTAACCACCCCGGATAAAGAACAGTTCAAAGAAATTATTAAAAGCCTGAAATTACCATGACATTCATGCCCAGGATGAGTGTGTGTAAACTACTTCTGATTATTTTTTTTTTATGCTCAGTTTGTTAAATATGTACATTTTCTGTTTGTCCAGACAGTGGAGGTCTTCCAGAGAGAAACGTCTCCCTCACAGGGACACAAGACTCCATACAGTGAGTTTTAGACGTCATACAAATACACTCATTGCAGTTTTATGTGGAAGCGTTTTAACGGTCTGGTGCTTAACTCTATAAACACTAGAGTGATGTGTTTCTTAAATGAAGTAACCAATCAGCTCCTCCCTTGGTTAGGAAAGCCAAGAGGCTGCTAAATGAGATAGTCTCCCGAGGAAGAGGTACTCCCCCTCTTTCTTCTTATCATGACTCCAGCAACGGGCAGAACGGCGCAGTTCATGAGATGATGATCCCAGCCGGCAAGGCCGGCCTAGTCATCGGCAAGGGAGGAGAGACCATCAAACAGCTACAGGTAAATTTCATGTTTTTGGCTTCAGCATTTGTAGAAGTCAGCATGACCCAACCAGAAAAAATCAACCAGAGTTGATTAGACCAAATCTGAACCTTTTTCTTAAAGTCAGTATTTTCACATTAAAATAGCAGCAAAGGTCTGAGTTAATTTAATCCTCCAGGAGTGTGAGGTTTTTAATTGGGTTTGTCTTACACTGGATCAGGGCAAGATCTTGAGCTTCCCTGCAGACTGAAAGCAGTCAGCCTGATGCTTTATAGCAGCAATCCATGCACCATGCAAGGGTGGGACTAAAGAGGAGCACAACATTCATTTTAAAGCCATTAATGTTTCTAATTTATAATAGATAGTATAATTCATATACATTAAGCTCACTGTATATAAAATAGCCAAATTAGCCTGTTAGTGTGCCAGTAAAAGCCTAAGTGGAGGCAACTCCAGTGTAGGTAAACACTTTCAAGTGCGTATGGCTGATAATTATGTCTCATTATGTGTTATTCGATGCAGGAGCGTGCAGGGGTCAAGATGATCCTAATCCAGGATGCCTCTCAGGGACCCAACGTTGACAAGCCTCTGCGCATTATTGGAGATCCATACAAAGTCCAGGTATAACTTTAAAGTCCTGTTATTGTGTCAAAGCAAATGTGGCATAGTGCTGAGCTTCCTGATCCTTAATGGTTTTTCAGCAAGCCCAGGAGATGGTGCAGGAGATTCTGAGGGACAGAGACCAAGGCGGCTACAGCGAAAGAAGCGAATTCAGCTCCCGAATGGGAGGCGGCATGGATGTAAGTTTGTGTGTCGGAGCAAGACTGGAAGTGACTGCAGACGGTTTTTAAAAACTTTTTTTTTAACCAAATCACAAACAGAGGAAGCAATAAATGTGTTTTTTGTTTTGTGTTCGTGTCATGTTAGATCCCAGTACCACGACACTCGGTGGGTGTGGTCATTGGACGCAATGGAGAGATGATCAAGAAAATTCAGAATGATGCCGGAGTCAGGATACAGTTCAAACAAGGTGGGACGCTCTGACGACGGCGTTATGGCTTCATTTATACGTCTTTCGCATTTGCTGACGTTCTGCTTTCCTCTGTTTTGGTCTCATTTAGCTGCCACCACAGGTTTTAACTCTGCTAGATTTTACATGATTTAGTAAAATCAATATAAATGTTATTAGTACCAGAACAGATGCTGGCAGCTGACACTGCCATCCATCAGAGAGTCTTTAGGTGGCACAAATCCCCTGGAAGTACAAGCCCTAAAACACATAATTACCAGGTTTCTCCATTGCAGTGATATTTTTTGAGGGGGTAAAAGTTTGCCTACAAATGAAGCGTCACAAACTCGCAGTCTAGCCTGACAGCCTGTGCATTTGCTGTACTTTGCCCCTTTGTATCAGGTGAATCTTTTACTCAGGCAGTGTGATTGCCTTTTGCGTAAGCTGTTGTGTAGAGCTGGTAAAATTGGCTCCTTTTCTTCTTCTATTGATTTGACTTGTATGTTGAAAAGAAAATCAGATAAAGAAGGATCCCTGCATAGATCCAGTGTTACAAGAACAATGGTCACATCAGAACGTCACCTGGCATGACCCTTTAGCGTGTTTCACAAAGTCTTTTTTGTTTGTTTTTGTTTTTTTTACCACTTTGCACTTTTTTTTTTGAGATCCTAATTTACAGACAGCTGTTAATTCTCACTTTGACCGGTGCTGGAAGGTGACCTGATTGATTTCATTTAGTGTTAATCCCAAACGCTTAATGCACTTTTAAATCCATTCCAGATGACGGGACTGGTCCAGATAAGATCGCACACATCAGTGGTCCGCCTGAACGCTGCGAGCACGCGGCTCAGATCATCAACGACCTGCTGCAGAGCATCCGGGTCAGAGAGGAGGGACAGGGGGTACGGATCAGCTGTCACACTCTAATCATCATAAATTAATAGATGAAGGCCTCACATCATAACGTCCATAAATATTTGGATAAATTAAGTGCTTAGCCTTGTTTTTTTGTTTCGTTTTTTTTGTTTTGTTTTTTAACATAGTCAGATGAGGCAAAATCACCAGAGGCTGTGACGTACTGGGTATATGTGAAGTAATGTGGCATAATTGTCCACAGGGTCCCCCAGGTCCTCCAGGAATGCCTTCAGGCAATAGGGGGCGAGGTGGGGGACAAGGCGGTTGGGGTCCCCCCGGAGGGGAAATGACCTTCTCTATTCCCGCCCAAAAGTGTGGGCTTGTGATTGGCAGAGGAGGAGAGAACGTCAAGTCCATCAACCAGCAGACGGGGGCATTCGTGGAAATCTCTCGACAGCCACCCCCCAACGGAGACCCCAACTTTAAGCTTTTTATCATTCGTGGGTCCCCGCAGCAGATCGACCACGCCAAGCAGCTCATTGAGGAGAAGATCGAGGTGCTTGTCATTCTAGATTATCATTATTCTTAATTATTATTTCTTAAGTTACCGATCAAGAAGAACACTCGTCATGTGTCATCATGTGATGTGTTTCAGGGTCCACTGTGTCCTGTGGGCCCGGGGACAGCTGGGCCAGGTCCTGCTGGGCCAATGGTTCCTTACAACCCAAACCCCTACAACCCCGGACCGCCTGGGGCTCCTGGACCTCCACAGTGAGTGGCTGCAGCTTTAAAACAGATTTCAGAGAACTGACGATGACCCTGAGATGTTGGGGTTTTTTTGGGTTTTTTTTTTAAATAAGAAACCGCTTCTTCTTTCCTCAGTGGTGGTCCTCCAGGTCCTCCCCAGTACAGCTCGCAGGGCTGGAGCAACACCTACCAGCAGTGGCAGCCCCAACCACCACATGACCCCAGTGAGTCACTGCTGGCTTCACCACCTCTGCTGATTTTAAGTGTTTACTGCTCAGCCCTCGCACTTATTTCTCACTATACTTGTTTTTTTTTTAATCTGAGAAGGTCAACAGGAGTTCTGATGGAAATGTTGTGATGAGATGCGGTGTCTTTATCTGTAGCAGCTCTGGCTCTAACCCTGTCTCTGTTTCCTCCCCCTGGTCTCCAAGCCCGGTCTCCAGGCCAGTAGCAGGGGCTCACCCTCACCCTATGAGGACCTCACCCCCTCCACCCTGCGTCTTTTCTAGGCAAGGCAGCAGCCAATGACCCCAATGCAGCCTGGGCGGCCTACTACGCTCAGTACTACCAGCAGCCATCGGGGGCTGCGCCAGCCCCGTACCCCGCAAACCAGGCTGGAGGTGCCCAAGCTGCAGGTGACCAGACCCAGGCTGCACAGACACCGGGGGGCCAGCCGGACTACACCAAGGCCTGGGAGGAGTACTACAAGAAGATGGGTACGAGTATGTTGCATATGTTAGGTAGTAATTTATGTAATTTTGTTGTTGTTATTTAATTTTTTATGTCTGTTTCTGTTTCTCAGCCCAGGCAGGCAGCTCTATACCCGGTACAGCAGCTGCAGCTCCAGGAGCAGCAGCAGGAGGAGGAGGAGGTTCAACATCCACAACAGGAGGCCAGCAGGACTACAGCGCAGCTTGGGCGGAGTACTACAGGCAGCAGGCTGCGTACTACGGACAAACAGGACAGCAGCCCTCCGGCCAGCCGGCCAATCCCCAGCAGGGACAGGTTGGTGCAGCGGCCTCGTCGAGGTCTTGTTTCTGTGTGTGTTAATCTACCTCCTCACGTCTCACATCTCACCTCCAAACGTCTGTATTTTAGATGCAGTGAGAGTTCGTGGCAGAAGACGGGATAAAGAAGAGGGCTCTGAAGGCCAGGATCGATCCCTTTATTCATATATATTGTATCCGTTGCAACTACAAGTGAAACGCTTCCCCACATGTGAACATCTGGATCCTTTTTTTGATAATAATGTGAACTGAACCCGATGCTCCTGTGCTTCGCTGCTGACGGGAGGGAAAAGACTGATTAAATGCGATCATTTCACAGAGCTACTCAGAGCTGCCTGAGCGTAGATTTAAATACTCACGGGAGCCCCGGAGTGCTTATTCCATTAACAGAGTTTTCAGCACATCTCAGTCATCCCGTAGCCCCATTTTAAAGTACTCACCTTCATATCCCAGTGTTGTATTAACTGACTTGCACAGAGCTTTTAGGACTATAATC